AGATTATTGAAAAATCTATTAAAATATTTATAAAAATTTCAAATTTGAAACTTAATTATAAACTTGATTTATGTATGTATATGTCAATATATTGACTGTTCCGCAAGAATATGGGAAAAAATTATTTTATTTCATTTTTTGGACATTGTTAATAAAATAAATTGGATTTTTGGATTTTTGAAAATAATTATTAATTATAATAAAAGTAGGATTTTTATTTTAAACATTATATAACTTCCGCGTGTGAAGCGCGGGAAGACGACTAGTATAAATATATAATTTTTAAAACTTAAATGCTTATGTAGCAATATATTAGAATATGAAATTGATGACATAATATTTTATTTTTTTCATTATAATTAATATTTTTTTCATTTAACAAAAATTACTTTTTTATGAAATAATGGAGTTACAAACTAATAAATTTGATGAATGATTTTATTCTAATTAATACTTTTTACATTTGATATGAGTTTTTTATTAAATAGTTTTTATCTTTCCAAAAAAAAAAAATAATGGAGTTATAATAGAGTCATAATTAACAAAAATAAATTAAATAATATCGTTACATTAACAAATAGAATTGAAATATTAATTTCAATTTACTAAAATTTTATTTTATTTCATTAAAATTAAATATTTCTTATTATCTCATCTAAATTTGAATATATTGAGAACTTTAAAGAGAAAAAATAATTAATTAACTATATCAGTTGAAATTATAATAGTTTACTTACAACTGTCTTAAATATAATGGAGTTATAATAGAGTCATAATTAACAAAAATAAATTAAATAATATCGTTACATTAACAAATAGAATTGAAATATTAATTTCAATTTACTAAAATTTTATTTCATTAAAATTAAATATTCTTATATCTCATCTAATTTGAATATATGAGAACTTTAAAGAGAAAAAATAATTAATTAACTATATCAGTTGAATTATAATAGTTTACTTACAACTGTCTTAATTAATATTTCAATTCATTACTTGAGAAATTAAAAAAATATTCGAATTTATTTTTTATTTTTTAATTAAAAATAAATAAATAATTTAAATTAAAGTAAATAGATATAAATTATAATAATTTTTTTGAAAATTAAATTAAATTTAATTTTAAAAAATATAAAATTATACGGTACACGCATCGCGCTAGATACATGACTAGTTAACGCTAAAAATTACATGAAAACTAGATAATAGCATGTTTAAAAGAAAAATACTAAAATCTATCATGTTTAAAAGAGTCAAAACACAAGAATCATTAAATTAATTTCTAAGAATAGGGTCTGTTCGGTAAATTTTTAGTTGTTATAATAGTTATTAGCTAATTTAATAGCTGTCAGTTATTTTATTAGTGGTTAACCGCTAAATATTAGTTGTTAATAGTTAATAATTATATAGCGGTTTAAAATAAAAGTGTTCGGTACAAATAACTGTTTGATTAGCTGTTTGATATAAAATGACAAAAAATGATATAAAAGCGATGAATAATATAAAGACAAGTAATGAGCATAGATGTTATAAAGAAATTATAAAACGCTAAAAATTAATGAAAAAAACATTTTATAAAATACTGTCTTGAACTCTAAATGCTAGAGTAGATATTATATTACCGAACGTTATAATTAATTAAGATAGTGTTTTAACCTTATTAAAAAACTAAATACTACTTCAAATGCTACTGCCAAATAGGGCCAAAAACCTTATGATTATATAATTTATTATTATTTAAGAACTAAATAGTAATTAACTTGCAAAAATAATTGAGAATATTTTATATTGAAAATAGTTCTTCTTAAAAAAAAATTTAGGCAAGATTGTATCCGAATTCTTCTATATCTGAGATGTGTTTAATGAAAACTTATTTAATTGATAAGATTCGAATTTTTACTTAAACTAGATGAAGGCCCGCGTTGTGTGGGTTGCTCTATTTACCGTAGAATATACTTTATTTTGAAAAATTTTTCATTGATAAAGTTTACTAAACGAAAAATAAAAATAATTGGAAGTATTTTAAATAAAAATGATTTAAGCTGAACTTGTTTAAATTTTCAAGTTTTTAAGTTTATAAATATAGCTCAATTTAATGTTCCAATGATAGAACAATACACTAAAAATATCATATATTTTTTTACCCCAAACTAAAAGAATAATAACTTGTAAAAACAAATTAAATAATAAAATGCTAATTTTTAGATAGAATATTATAATAGTTATTCTAAACGAAAATATTGCCCAAGAATTATAACATTTGATATCTTGCATAATATCTCATTAACACCTTACAAAAATATAAGTAGAAGGGAGCTCCTATTGCCACATACAAACAAGTTATGACCATAGTCTAAGAACTCGGATTTTCCAAGCTCTCTCCCCCCAAAACTTATGTGAATGTGTAATCTATTCATTTAAAAAACAAAATGCAGTCATTAATTATTCCATAAGAAAATAAATCCGAATCATTTGTTGATTTCTATATGAAAATCCCATACCGAGTGAAAATTAATTAAATGAAATACTGATAAGTTATTGGAATTGGCGATTTAATTGCCAAGCCAAGTAACGCGGGCTTGTTACCAAGTGGGGCATTCAGTGGCTAATCTATCAATGTCGATCACTTCCGATCCTTTCCCCGGTCTTCCATCTTCTACGGTTGGGTAGCAACTATCGTGTGTCATCAGAGAAGACGAAACTTGAATGGCTGAAGTGTCACCCATCCTCCATGCTTGGGTAGTCAATTTTTTTTATTAAAATGATTAATATGGAATATAAAGTTTTATTTAGTTAAGTTTTATTTTAAAATGATATAAGTATTTCTGATTAGGAATAAGCATTCGATCAATTCGTTTCAAGCCAACTCAAATCAACTTAAATCAAACTAAAAAAAAATCATTTATAAAGAAAATTGAACTAAGTTGAAGTTTTGCACAAAATCAAATTAATTTAGGTTTAATTTTTTTTTGTTTTAATTTATTTTTTATAAAGTAAAACATCTATGGCGCTCAATAATGGGGTGGTCAATGATGTTTTTAATGTCGAATTGATAAAGGATAACGGTCAGAATCAATCAATTGCCTAGTTCACTTCTTAGCCAAGATGAGTTTTTGATAAAATGCGCAATTTTATCAATATTAAAATTTTAAATGTTTCATTATTAACAACTAACATCTTCATAGCTAAAAACTAATTTTTGAGCGAATCGAAATTTATTGGTCCGACTACACTCGAAATTTATTGGTCCGACTATACTCGCGCGGGACAGGCTATAAAAAGGTGAGACGCTTTCTCTCGAGCGTTTAAAATTCATTGATCTAAAATCTCTGATTAAAGGAGAAGAGATATCTGTCACCGATTTCATCTATTAAAATTTTTTTATATTAGGAATAAATCCAAGACCTCTATTTAAATTTTACTCGCTTTCTTATTGTTATTATTAATTTTATTTTCTCATGTTACAGTCTCCAACGTTTCAATCCTAAATGTAAGTTAATGCACTTACCTCATTCAAGACCAATAAACAATTGCTTGGAAAAAATCTAGAAAATTCCTTCTTCATCTGTGTAAGGAAATCAAAAGAAAAATTAAAATATGTATTAATATTATTGATCCTTAACAAAAAAGAATAAATTTGATGGACAACTCCTAGGGAACTCAGTTCCGACAATGATTTAAGGTTACATTCTACTTCGATAAAGAGCAGAGTCAAATGAGTACCCTAAAGAATTACATATTCGTTTGACTTTCTAATCGAATATATAAATTACCTTGTGAACTTGTGTATAAGAGTGTTGTGCCCTTCAATATTTTCGAAATGACTCTGTAATTTCCTAAATTTGATTTTTTATAATATACACACATATGCCGACTTTATAAAATGAGATGTGAAATATACGGGTTAGGTGACATAACATCTTACTCATATGCCATATCATCAAATTTGCTCAATTCTCTTGTCACCAAAAACAAAAAACTTGCTCACTTCTCTCTCGATTCACAATTCAGTACCGGCAAGATACAATTACACGAGCCTCACACGGCCGATGGGAAGAATCCATGGAATTGGATTTGTTAGTTTGCAGTCGTCAACAATTTTCCATTAAATTTCTTTTTGTCTCATGTGTTCTTTTTAACACCAACTCTGTTCTAACTCCCTGTGGAAAAAGTGAGAGACAGTAATAGCATTTGAGTTTTTTGGCGGTAGCGCAAATCTGCTCCGGCAAGGCAGGTAGATCTATAACCAGCATGAATCCTAATAAGCCATCTCAATATCGATACGGAACCCAACTCTCAAACCTTTCTAGACCCATCAACTTGTCCACCTGAAGGTTAGTTGGCAAGCAAATGCTTGAGATTTCCAAGGTTTGCCAAGAGTCTCGGTTACAGGTTTTGTTTACTGTATAATAGCTTTGTCGGATCTAAAGAGTCAAGAGGTGGCATCCAACATGGCAACATAATTACAAAATATATTGATATTAATCCATGTCAACATAATTACAAAATATATTGACATTAATCCATGTCATCACGTCGTGCGATTCATTCAATGTTTTCTATTCTTGCCAAGTATGTATATATTACAAAAAATAAAGTTTGGGGAGCCACGTGGTCATTTCAAAAGTATAAGAGGCTACAAGATTTTTACGTATAAATTCAGAAGACAATTTATATATTTGGCCAAACTTTCCCTGAATCAACCGTTATTAAATAGTTTTAAAATATAAAAGTGTGTTTTTACACACTGCGGCTTAGCTTAGAGAAGCACTATTCCAAGCAGAACAATTATTTTTATTATCAGTAGTATTATAGAAGAAATTTACTGATTGGGTGATTTCCATATAGTTCCCACATCGGATAAGAATTAATTAAATCTAATACTATAGATCTATTAAGAGGTATATTTCTTCATATATTTTCTCAATTTATCCATGAAATTTGAAATTTATTTGTAATTTTCTAAGATTTTTGATAATTTTTCAAATAATAAATTAATATCATTTTGAAAGTCAATTAATTTTAACAACAAGAAATCCATATAACATTAAATTGAAGAATAAGCAAAAATTATAATTTTTTTTGTTTTGGTTTTAACCATCTGTTATCCGAAGTCCATTGGTCCGGATTTGCGCCGAGGAAGCTTTCTCAAAGGCAAAGCAATCTTTCCCGAGTGTTTAAAGGGACTCCAGCTCTCTCCTGAGTATTTACTGAGTATTTAAAGCAATCTTTCCTGAGTGTTTAAAGAGACTCCAGCTCTCTCCTGAGTGTTTACTCTCTCCTGAGTGTTTACTGAGTATTTAAAGGAACTCCAGCTCTCTCCCAGCTGTCTCTCAAGTGTTTAAAGAGACTCTCTACCCAGGGCTCAAAATCAAGATAGGACTCAAACTCAAGATTTTTGGTTAACGAGAAGAGATCTTGCCATCCCATCTAACCCATCAGGGAAGATCATGCCCTCAGCCTACATTTACCTTGGATTATTGCCTTTCATTTCTGAAACTTGATACTCCAAAAAGAAGCAATTAAAGGAATCAGATATCATAAGGTAAGAAGTCTCAACTCTCTATGTTATCTCTTGCTGCCATGCATAAAACTTTATATGCGTGGTTCAATCTCAACAGGCAATTGAGATAAGCATCACTTTCACAATAAAGAATCAGTGATCCAGCAAACTCGCTTATGCAGATAATTCTGTCAGTAAGATTTTCGTAGCTGCTCCCACAAATTACTTGTCAAAGGTCTGGTCCAAATGAAAGATAATTGGCTCCTCAATCGCGTTTCAGATCTATAGCATAATTCAAAATCAACCATCCTCAGTAAAACTCAAAAAAGTCATGTCCTCTTCTATTTCTCTGGATAAGATATAAGAAACCATCACATTTTACAGATCAAAGAGAAACTTACAGCATGCTGACATTCATCCATAGATTGATGAGCCGGAACAGAAACAGAAAGAAATCAGGTGCCCTTTTTATGTCACCAATAGTCATTACAAGAGCACATCCCATTTCTGAATTGGTGAAAACGGTTAGAATCTCTAACAACAATTTCTTTGTGAAGAAGATCTGAAGCTAACTTCATGAAGTTATGACAGTCCACACAGATTCGGATATTCTTCATGATTTTTATTGCAGTTTTTCCACTAGGTGAATTACCTTCATTCATCAATGCAAATGCCAGAGCTAGCTTTTCACTATGATGGTACAACTGCTCTTCTTTATGCTCCTCTTCTATGTCATGCAATGCCAAGCTCGTCTCCGGCACATAGCCTATCTCCTTTAATTGCCCAATTAGAAAATCAAGCCTGGAGCATATGGTCTTTCTCTGAGGATGCCGGCTGCCTCCAGCAGCAAAATCATGCACCATATTACCAATCTCAATCCAACTTAGACCAGGTTCCTTTCTTACTCTAGAACCTTTCATTTCTTTCCTAATTATCCCTGCCTCATTGTAACTACCTCCAGAACAATAAATGTTTGACATTTGCACATAGCCTAATGAATTTCTGGGCTGCAACTCCTTCAGTCTATCTGCCGCTAACTTGGCCAAGTTTGCGTCACCATGCTTCCTACATGAGCCAAGCAGTGCACTCCAAACCACAGAATCAGGCTGCATTGGCATTCTGTTTATAAGTTCCTTTGCCTCGACAACACGCCCAGCTCGGCCAAGAATATCAACCATGCATGCATAATGATCTAATTGTGGAACAATGCCATGTGTATCAAACATTGAGTCAAATATCTTGATCCCTTCTTCCACCTTTCCAGCATGGCTGCATGCTGAGAGGATAGCAACCATAGTTGCAGAATCAGGAGGGACATTCATTTTGGAAAAGAGATGCAATGCTTCTTTAGCTTGGCCATGCAGGGCATAAGACTTCAGCATTGAATTCCAAGAAACTAAATCATGGTATCTCATTTCATCAAAAACTTGCTTGGACAAGGAAATGGAGCCACACCTTGCATAGGCGTGGATCAAGACATTTGCAAGCACTGTGTCACACTCAAACCCAGCTTTTATCACTTGTGAATGAATGACCAAAGCATGCCTCACAGTCCCAAGACCTGCACAAGCTTTTATGACGATTGAAAATGTATACCAATCTGGAGCTAAATCTTCCCGTTGCAACTGATGAAACAGAAAGAGTGCTTCTTCAGGTTCCCGTTCAGCAAATGTTGTTATAATGCCAGTCCATGAAACTATATCACGACAACAATCTGTCTCTGAAAAGAGCTTGTAACAATCAGTAACCTCTCTACCAAGATCTGAATAAGCTTTCACCAATGCAGTTGCAACTTCAATTTGCAACACGAACCCACTTTTGATACTAACACTGTGCAATTGAAGACAAAGTTTAAGACCCACATCAACAGTATCACTATAACTTTCACTCAACGAAGAACAGACACTAAGCAGCGTGGCACGATCAAAACCAATTGCTTCACTATGCATTTGCCTAAATAGACTAATAGCTTTTTCCCCAAGTTTTCTGACATGAAACCCTGCAATCATTGAGTTCCAAGAAACAATATTACGAACTTGTAAACTCTCAAACACATTCCAAGCTTCATCTCTATTACTGCTATCATAAAATTTACTATACATGGAAATAAGTGCATTTCCTATATAAACACTAGAATCTAAACCCATTTTCATAGCAAGTGCATGCACTTGCGCACCATATTCATAGTCACAACATGTAAGCACACTTGTAAACGCAAATTCATTTGGTTGGCAATTCATCAACATCTCAGTAAACAAAACACAGCAATTATAGGCTTGCCCCTGTTGAGCATAACCAGAAATGAGAGCTGTCCAAGAGACAACATTTCTTTCAGGCATTTCATCGAATAGCTGGTGTGCGTAAACCAAATCCCCGCATTTCGCATACATGTTGATTAGATGGTTTGTCACAAATAAGCCTAACGGATAGTTATGATTAGTGAAAAGCATGTGCTGGTGTAAGAGTATGCCTTCTTGAAGGTATCCATGGCGAGCACACGCATTAAAGAGAGAGGTATAGCTATATTGGGAGTAGGGTAGTGGTGGAAGTGATGGTGCATTGTAAAAAAGAGAGAGCGCTTCATTAACTCGGCCGCGCATGGAAAGAACGCGCAGCTCGTTGAGAAGGTTGTTCGCGTTGGATGTTGTGCTCCAATATTGAGGAAGACTGCTGGAGCTGAAGGTCCGGAGGGAGAAATGCCACGCGCGAATGTTCGCTCGTAACATTACGAAAGTGGCAAATGGTCGATCGAACTGTAAGAGCCGTTTAAGGGACCAAAACCAAAGTGAGTCGATATGAATTTGTAACAAATGCCATTTTTTCAGTCAGTATAGCTTTTTTCTGTCCATTGGACTTATAGATCCTGATGTTTATGATTCGGTTTGATTTGATTTAAAAACTCTATTTAAACCAAATTTAGAGTAATGGTTTGAAAAAGTTTAAATCAAACCAAAATTATGAAGATACTCGGTTGAATTTAACTTATAAAAGTGATTTGGTTTAATTTAGCTCGGTTGATGATTTAGCGGCAGTTTGAAAAGAAAAAGAAAATTTCAAACCTAACAACCGAGTCAAAACTGTTACTCTCTCTGTTACAATTTAACAGACAAGGTGGAGTTTCTTCATAATCAAAGTCAACGGATGGATGATATTTCTCTCCGTTGTGGTATTAGCTAATCGATGCAAAAAATTTTTGCTTGTGGGAGTGAAAACTCTATATTTTCAGTGTAAGTTAAAACTCCATTCCTTCTGGTATTCATTTCAATTTGATTTCTGTCTTTCTGATGGATATGTAAATTAGGTTCCTTTCTTTCTGATTGCTTACGTTTATTGGTTCCACTTCCAACCTGTTTGAGCTTCGTTCTCTTTTTCAGAAGGGAGGTGATATGAGAATTCTAATCTTGTTTATTTCTTTGTTTGTTTAATTGTTTAATATGTGCTAATTAAAGAATTTATTAAAAAGACATGGATAACATATACAATATTTCTTCTATTTATTTATTTATTTTGTGATCCCATTGAGAAGAATATTTAAAATTTTTAATGTTTAATGGTGAAATAATCCGAATTTATATTTTCAAAAATTTTTCTCTTAAATTTAATAAACGGACATCCTAAAAAATTTATTCAATCGTTTAAATGCAAACCAATAAATTGTATAGTTGATAAACCGAACAAAACCGACTGAAAAATCGAAAAGCACACGAAAATCACGATTTAGATCGAATCAAACCTGAATCAAACCACATCTGCCTAAATTCACCCAAACCACTTCTAGAACTCTCCCCTCTCCCCTTATTTTCCAGCTCTCACTCTCCCCCTCCCCGTTCTGCGTGTTCCAGTCACCGGCGAACCACATCCTCCCCTGCCGCCGCCGTCTCTCCCCATCCTCCTCTTCTTATTCTTTCTTTCTTTCTTTCCTCTGCGTTTCTGTTTCTGGCGAGAGTTGGAGTTGCAACCAGTCGTAACTCCACAGATCGGAGCAGACCTCCCTCGCGCGCCAACCCTCCGCCGCTCCACGTCGTAGCAGCTCCGCCAGCACCGTCCCTCTCTTCGTTCTAACCCAGCGAGGAGAACAGTCGCAGGAAGGACTGCGACCTCGCCTCGATCTGTCGCGCCACAGCCTCGCCGTGCTTCAGCTCGCCTCCAGCCACCAAGAACGAGCGCAGCACCACCGCGTCGCACCACCACGCCATCGCGCCGCCACCCGCTGCTGCCCAGTCAGATCGCGCCACCTGCTCGCAGTCCTGGTGAGCGCAGCAACCTGTTTTGGTCGACTCAGCGCCACTTCTCTCACCTGCTCTTCGTTCAGGCACGCGTAGCTTCCATTTCCGTTCAAACAAATTTCGGCAGTAGTATATTTGGGTATAAATAATTTCTTATTAATTGTCAGAATTTAATTAAATTCTAATAATGGTGGTTAATTAATTTAAATTAATTTTTGAGTGTTAATTTAATTAAAAATACTTTAACTAATTAAAGCTAATTTAAACTAGTATCAAATAAATTTATTGGGAAATTTTGATAATAGGAACTTAGAAGTTAATGTTAATGCTGAGGTTACATAGGATGGGAAAATTTGACCTGATTGATTGACCGATGGATGGGCCGTGTGGACTGTGAGGTCGAAAGTCCAATTTTTAGAAGAGGTGCAGTTGAAATTTCGGTAGAAATTAGATTATTTATAGAAATCAAATATGTAAATAATTTATTAGAGCAATTCCTTTATTTCTTATTTGTCTGATATAGTTATTTTCTTGCAGTATTTTTAAATTCCTTAGATCGCTCGGATCCAACTATTGCTCCTCCCGGTCAGAATCAAGAGTTAGAGTATCATTCTCCACCAAGAGTTAGAGTATCATTCTCCGCCACTGTGATTAATAATAAATAATGCATATCAGCACTATATTTGCATAACATTCATTTTATAGACATTAAATATATATGGATATGTATATAAAACTCTAATACTTATTTTTATTTTTATTTTTATATACTATCTTATAAATATATCATGTGACTATTAATATATAATTATATTTTTGTGATTGCGCATTAAGATGGACTTGGTGTATCACGTTGAATGAATTACTTGATTACTTGTGCTGTGAATATGCTATGATTTGTTTGTGTGGAATTGGGATGAAGTGGGTCACTTTGGATTTGTGATGATGGTCTTGGAAATTGACCGTTGGCCGGTATGGGAGATCAGCGCTCCTGTGTGCACCCGATGATATGACATGGATAATATGGATAAACCACAGGGTGATCTCCTGTTGGTATGAAAGAGAAAGGAGAGAACGGAAAAACAATGAGAGGGTTAGTCAAGTGAGGATTAGACCGGTTGGCTAGGTATGGGGATCGGCTTCTTGGTACACACGTATGAGAGGGCGAGCCATGTGAGAGGAAGGCTCGTTGGGGTTTCAGGTGGCGCCACTGACTAATTTCCACTTGCTTGATTATTTGAAGGTGATATTGTTTGTGAGTACTAATGTTGGGCCATATGATTGACTAGTTGTATGCTCATTTTAGAATATCAGGTGCATTTTGTGTGAATGTTTGTAATGTGTATTATTTATTATTATTCACTGAATTACAAAACTCACCCCTCTATCCAAACTTCTTAGGTAGTACGAAGCTGCTGATTCGACTGAAGCTCTGCAATTTTCCTCGCAGGGCTACAAATGTAAATCCATAAATTTTGTTATTTAAATTGTGTTGTTAAACGTATAAACTATTGTACTTTCAAATTATTGTTGAACTCCGTAGTTGTAGGGATTTGCGTATTTTTTTAATTGGATGATTCTATTGTTTAATTAAGTGCATATGAACCGATAGCCCATATTACGAATATGACGTATTATGATTAGGCCCTGATTAAGTTGTATTCGAGAAAATTGAGACTGGGCTAGGATTGTAATATGATTATATATATTCTAATTTATATGGGCTTACCGTTCCTAATAATTTGTGTGGCATGCCTGAGTTGAAAGTTAGGCTTACTACAGGCCTCGGAGGCCTTATGCTTACCTAGGCCTTAGTGCCGGTCTGGCCTATGGAAACGGTTCGTGACAAATGGTCTTCAAGTTGTAGAATGTAGAGTCCTTTTCTTGTATTATTGGATTCGGTTATTATTTCTGTGGCTCAGCACTTGTGATTAATGATTATTTTTTTATTTTAATTTTCCAGAAAAAAAGTGTCACCTCACCTAAGATATATATGGCATCTTCTTCCACTGGTCGTAAACGCAAGTATGATGTGTTTCTTAGCTTCAGAGGTGAGGATACTCGTGATAATTTTACTAGTCATCTCTATGATGCTTTGTGTCGTAAAAAAGTCAAGACGTTCATAGACAATGACCTTGAAAGAGGGGAAGAAATAACTCCAGCCCTTTTGAGAACTATTGAAGAATCAATGATTTCTGTAATCATTTTCTCCAAAAACTATGCATCTTCTCCATGGTGCTTGGATGAAATGTCCAAAATTATTGAATGCAAAGACACTTATGGGCAGGTAGTTCTACCAGTTTTCTATCATATAGATCCATCTCTTTTACAAGAACAAAGTGGGAGTTTTGTAGATGTATTTATCGACGCTGAGAAGAACTTTAAGGAGAAAATGGAACAAGTGCCAAGGTGGAGGGTCGACTTGATGAAAGCAGCTAATATATCTGGATGGGATTCTCAGGTGATTAGGTATGTGTAAATTGATAATCTGCTTATATTTTCTAATCTTTGAAATATATAACCAGATGAAAACAGTATAAATCACCTACTTGAGTTGGAAGGTTGAGACAAAGAGTTGTGCTTTTCTTCCTTTGTGAATTTTCTTTTCTTGTTTGAAAATGCAATAAAACAACTGATTTTGTAGCGCTCTCTAGATTTTGTACAAATTCTGGATGTACATCCTCTTAGTTGAATACCAACTAAGAAGCGCAGACCAATTTCTTAAGTTATCTAATAACATGTTGAGATTTGTAGGCTGCAAGATGATAGCTCTACACTCTAATCCTCTCACTCCTTAGCAGGCCTTCTTTCCTCTGGTTAGCATGTCTAGTGGAAACTTTACTAGTATGTAAAAATTTTATATGCTTCGCACAAATGCTATGGAAGAAAAATTAGATCATTCGTGTTAATCTAACTTCTTACGGGCTTCCTTCCATTGTTGCTGACAGTAATCAAAAAGAAAATGATGACTTGACAAAACTCTTATCAATTCCTTTGTTTCCTTCTCACATGTCACTACTAACTTGTTCTTCATATTTTGTAGACCTGAGGAGCATTAAAAACAACTGATTTTGTAGCGCTCTCTAGATTTTGGTACAAATTCTGGATGACATTCCTCTTAGTTTGAATACCAACTAAGGAAGCGCAGACCAATTTCTTAAATTATCTAAATAACATGTCTTGAGATTTGTTAGGCTTGCAAGGATGATAGCTCTACACTCTAATCCTCTCCAACTCCTTAAGCAGGCCTTCTTCCTTCTGGTTAAGCATTGTCTAGTGGAAACTTTACTAAGTATGCTAAAAATTTTATATGCTTTCGCACAAATGCTATGGCAAGAAAAAAAAATTAGATCATTCGTCGTTAATCTAACTTCTTACGGGCTTCCTTCCATTGTGCTGACAGTAATCAAAAAAAGAAAATGATGACTTGACAAAACTCTTATCAATTCCTTTGTGCCTTCTTTCACATGTCAACTACTAACTTGTTCTTCATATTTTGTAGACCCTGAGGCCAAGCTAGACCTGAGGCCAAGCTTGTGAATGATATTATGAAACATATTTTGAGGAAGTTGAATCATGCATCCTTTAGAGATTCAAAAGGCCTGGTTGGGATAGACTCTCACATTGAACAAATTAGAAAGTTGTTGTGCTTTGGGTCACCAGATGTTCCGATTGTTGGAATTTGGGGTATGGGTGGGATAGGTAAGACGACTATTGCTGAAGCAATTTTCTATAGCGCTTCAAGTGAATATGAAGGTTGCTGCTTTCTCAAAAATATTAAGGAAGAGTCAAAAAGATGTGGGCTAGATTTTTTAAAACAAAAACTATTATTTGAAACATTAGAGGAAGAAAATCTACATACTCTAAGTCCCAACATGGGGTCCATTTCCAATGAGGACAGGCTCCAATGCACAAAGGTTTTTCTTCTTCTTGATGATGTGGATGATGTAGATCAATTAGACGCCCTAATTAGAAGATCGAATCTTGGTTTGGGAAGTAGAGTTATTGTGACATCTAGAGATAGGCAGTTATTGTGACATCTAGAGATAAGCAGGTTCTTAAGAATATAGTTGATTATGTATATGAAGTTGAGGGATTAAAGGATGATGAAGCTCTTCAATTGTTCAGTTTGTATGCTTTTAAGAAAAACTATCCCCCGAAAGATAGGATAGACTTATCAAATAAGGTGGTGAATTATGCTCAGGGAAACCCATTGGCGCTTAAAGTTTTGGGTTCTTATCTTTTTGACAGAAGGAAACGAGATTGGGAAAGTGGAAACGAGATTGGGAAAGTGCACTGAATAAACTTGGAAGAGGTCCACATTCTCAAATCTGTAATGTATTAAGAATAAGCTTTGATATGCTAGATGATGAAGAGAAAAGTGTATTTCTTGATATTGCTTGCTTTTTTAAGGGGCAGCAAATTGATTTCGTTAAGAGAATCCTTGATGGTTGTGGTTTCTCAGCTGATATTGGAATAAGTGTTCTAGTTGATAGATGCCTCATTACTGTCCTTGAAAACAAACTAGGGATACATGACTTGTTGGTTGAAATGGCTCATGAAATTGTTCGGCAGGAATATGTTGCCAAGCTGGGCAAGCGCAGTAGACTGTGGAATCCTATTGATATCGTTCAAGTGTTGACCAAAAATCTGGTGAGAGCCATATGCATGATGTGTATATATCCTTTGGGGTGTGTACATGTTGATATATATCCTTTGGGGTGAAGCGAAAGAATTCCTGTAATCAGTCCTTCATAACACACACACACACACCACAAATTACGAAGAGTTGGAAACTTTATATTATTACATAAACAATATGCGACTATTTTATTCAGTGATGATATCTAGGAACTGAAAAGGCTGATAGCGAATATTTTTAGATGGCATCTCAAACAATAGTGAGAAGTGATATTTGTTCCAGAGCTTTTTGCGAACATGAAGAATCTTAGACTGCTCAAAATTTACAATGCTAGGAATTGGAAATAACGAAATTGCAACTTTCAATTCGTGTCATCATGGCCTTGAGTTTCTTTCTGATGAGTTGAGGTATCTCCACTGGGATGGATACCCATTAAGGTCTATGCCATCTAATTTTCAAGCAGAGAAACTTGTTGAACTGAACCTAGCATACAGCAACGTTAAACAACTATGGACAGGAGTGCAGGTTTGCTATAAGATCTATCTTCATGCTTCATTTTACTACCCCCTTTTTAAAAAAAAAACGTTGTGGGTTGAGTAAACATTAATTTCTTGTATTAATTCTGCAGAATCTTGTGAGCTTGAAAGACATTAATCTTAGCTACTCTGAGCACTTGACTACTTTCCCAGACCTGTCACAGGCCAAGAATCTTGAAAGAATTAATTTTGAAAACTGTCCTCACTTTTTAGAAGTGTCGTCATCCATTCAGTTTTTAGACAATCTTGTTGATTTGAATATGAAATGCTGCAGAAGCCTTATGCATCTCCCGATTGGCACTAACATGAGATCTCTGAAGACTATCAACCTTTCTGGTTGCTCCAATTTTAGGGAATGTCCAGAGTTTGCAGAGAACATAAAGTATTTAAATTTGAATGAGACTGCCATAGAAGAACTTCCCAAATCAATTGGGAATCTCAGTGGACCTCAGTGGACAACTAATAGTCAGCATACTCCAAATATAACCTGTAGTGTGCAGGCTAAATCACGTGCCTCATAGAAATATGAATTATAATTATAGCATGAGTCAATATACAATCTAAAGTTTGATCGTTATTTATAATTTAGTGATATAGATTTCTCTTTGCACACTCCAGATATTAACTTGTGCCCAGAAATTCTCAAATTACTATATAATATAGCGGAGATATCATATCACATGGCTTCATGAACTCGGCACCTTGCGACATTCACATCTACTTATGATCCTCAATAGGTTTCCCTATGCGATAGTCTATAACCTGAATGATCTTACCCTGAATGACAGTTGAAATATTTTATTACTTTGTCCACATTAAGAATTGAGATTATGGATATGCTCTGTATTATTATTATTAATTATTTGAGTTAATATAGATCTTATCAAAATAAGTTACTTGGTTAAAGCTGCTCAAATACACTAATGATTTTTACATGTATCTGAATACATCCGAATCACAAGGGTTGGATATGATTGGTGTCATAATAGAGAAAGCATAATAATTAATTGTTTTTTCTTCATACACTAAAAATCTATGGAAAGAGTACTTCTTTCGAGTTTGAAATTTTCTCATAAATGATTCCATCAACTGTAAAAGCAAACTCTCTAAACACTGTTGAGCTATCTTCAATGTATCATCCTCCTCAGTCTCATAATCTCTATATTATTGATTTGGATATATTAGATCAAAGATAGGAACCTGTGAATATTTGCATTTTATAATTACTCTATTTTCATAAGTGAAAAAATATTATTAGTATTAACTATAAATTTTTATCAGGATAAAACTGACTACATTTTGACGATTGTATTATATTACTTACTTAAACGGAGGCATAGATAAGTCTCTTCATGGATGCTCAAATCATCTATCACAACAGTTTCACAAGAAGATATCGTTTGGGAGTCAATCACATGTGAACCGCAATGAGAGAATTTCGAAAATGAAACCCAAATTAAAAAACACACTAAAACTCGGATGATATGAGAAACTAGGTATAGACCTGGAAGCTTCTTACACAATAATAGAATTAGCCATTCAATTCTCCGGCCAAACACCCCGACCATATACTCCTTTTTCTTTCTATGTTTTTTTTTTACTAAGAATTAGGAACAAAAGAATTTGTTTGAATTATGTCGATCTTGTAGTGAGAGTTGTGTTTTAGCTTAGATAGTGCAATCAGTGGCACAATGAATTTAACTCTAGAATTACTATTTTCCTTTAAGTCAGTATTTGCCCAAGTTCGGCTAATAACTCATATTAGTAACATATAAATTGTACTCAGGTTTAGTTTCACATTTTCAGTGTATTTACCAGATATATATATATATAATAGTTATTCTATTTATAGGAATGTGTGAAGAAAATAATCTATTGGAGGTGCATCTTAGAGGTAAACTTCTGTTCATTTAACAGGTGCGAAACAGCGGCTTCTATCTTTATCTCTCATATTTCATTTTTCTGTTTTTCTGATCTAGCATCACTATCTTGTAGCATAGATTCGAAACTATCCCTTTCAAGTAGCCTAATATGCTGCGTTGAGCTTTCTCGAGCGGAGCTCAGAAAGCTTATGTTCTGCAAGGCATAGAGTGAACATATAATCTTTTTGTCCATATTTTTTTCTTTTCCATCAATTTCACCTTTCTATTCACATAAACACGTTCAGCCAGGGTCAGAACAATTTATCATACTATATAAAGTGCCTCTATCCAGAAATATTGTGTAGATATTCTTACCCACAACCAATCTGCATACAACTTTATCGCAATGCGCTGTGGTAAAGAGGCATATGGCATCCCATATCTTCAGGTAGAAATAGTCCAACTAGGCTAACTGCTCTAGATATATTCTACTGAATTTACGGAATGATCAGCATCTTTATAGTAGCTCCCATCACAATGGACCATCATACCGCGCAAGTGACTAGGCATTGGGTCCAAACTCTTTGTAGCATTTAATAGGGTATACGTGTGGAGTCGTCTTTTACCTCGTACCTCAACCACCAATTAAGAGCAGGAGTTGGTCATCTGCACTCTCTGTACTCATTTTTGAATGTTGACTCATTGCTTTTTTTGATTACACAGCCTAATCTGATTAGCCAATTGTTGCCTCAGCGTAGAGAAAACACATATTATTTACGGACGGAATTTTAAGGTGAGAACAAACACCACTCAAGACGTGTGAAACCACAGGAACTTGATGTTAGCCCACACTGGTGAATGCAATATAAAGCGTCTGCTATGTTGATACGGTCAGTGACCAAACATCACCTTTTGGCTTGATGGCCCAAAACCACTGTAGGGAATTGTCCATGTACAGTCCTTGAGATAGCTCAAAAACCTAGATTCTCCTTGACCCTAAAAGAGTATAGTACGTGTCACTCACTCGCGAAACATAAAATGGCTACAAATGACCCTTTTAAAGCATGCACTACAGGAATTTTTCATCTAGTTTTTACCAAAGAACTCTGAGAGGATGTAAAGGACGGAGACTGAGTAGTTTCGATTTCTCGCAAGTTTTTTGCATCAACTGGGGCGCGATATAAATTTAGGATTAGATAGGCATATTTCTTGATAATATTTTTGCTGCTTTGTCTCACAAAAGCTCACCAAAACTTCCTCATCGTTATGAAGTTGGGCTTTGATGACAAAAAGAAATTGGCAACAATATTCCTCTTTCACATCCAGATTGAATTCTAATTGATACTCTTAGTGTGATCCCAGGTGAAAATGACATTTATGCTCCGGTCACACAATACAATGTGAAAGTTGGTATTTCAAGAAAAATATGCCCTCACAAAATTTATGCGCTATGCAAAAAGACTGAACAACCAGGTCTCTTTCCCCTTTCATCCTCTGATTCTTTGTAACTGATAATTCCAATGTTAATGGTCATGATTCTCATGTTGCAGATTCCTTCTATACTAGCAGGAGAATCTAGTTTTTGCATTCCTGGACGTACAATCCCAAGGTGGTTTGGCCATCAAAGTGAAGGATTTTCTACGACAATGCAGCTACCTTCACAGTGGGCTAACATCAAGTTCCTGGGTTTCACTCTGTGTGTTGTTATTAAATTCGGCGTTTATTTTTTCTTTGGGGGCAACAATGGTTTCCAGATTAGGTGTCAATATCACTTCAAAAATGAGTACAGAGAGTGCAGTGATCTCCTTTCTTATTTTGGTGGTTGGTACGGTAAAAGAACTCCCCGTACTTATCATGACAAAGAGTTTGGGACCCAATGTCCTATGTTCTTCGGGTATGATCCATGTGTGGACGCTACAAAAGATGATCATTTCAGTAAATATAGAGAGTTAGTAGTTGAATTCTACCCTGAAGATATGGATGGCAATCCTTTACACCGTTGCAAAGTGATCAGTTGTGGTGTACGTCTACTATATTCTGAAGAGGATTTATTTTGTCTAAATTGTCGACCCTTTGCGTGTTTTGATGTAGGTGATGAGGAAGATATAGTCACTCTTGCCTGTGAAGAACATAATAGTTTTTAGCTCGCCGAGAAGCTCAACGAGAATTAGGCACTGAAGGAGTCGAACAGCTCAACATGTCTAACAAAAAAGAAAAAGAAAATGAAAAAGTAGAACGTGGCCGTTGCAAGTTTTTAAGGCACCTCCAAGTTATTTTTTTAACATTTATACATACGTAATTTTAAGGAAAGTTATAAATATTATGCATATTGTAGTGATTAGAATAGTTTTAAGTTATATTTATATTATATGCGTATTTAGCGATTACAATAGTTTTAAGTTATATTTTATTATTCCATTCAAGCTTAAAACACCCTTCACAATAGTTTTCAACAATATTTTTATGTCCTAATCTTAAAAAAAAAAAAAAAAAAAAAAAAAAAAAAAAAGATTTTGCGGTGTTTGGCGAGATTGAAGGCAATTATTGGTAGATTCAGTAACCATTTCTCCTCCGTTAGTGTGTTTTTATTTGGTTATTCGTATCTCTCTTGCGGTTCAATGGTTGCTCCCAGTGATTTCTTAATTTTAATATTTTAACTTCTATGCTCCGTTTGACACAAATAAATTCAAAATGTAGCATTTATTGATAAAATTTATTTATAAATAAATTTTTCATGTTTGAAATAAATTTTAAAAATGAAAATTCGTTTACTTTTATTTCTAAAATATTCTGAGTATAATAATTTTAAAAGACTGAGAGGATGAATAATTATATAGTAAAGTTTTAAGTTGTTTAAGTTTGTGGAATTCATTAGTAAAGTTTTAAGTTGTTTAAGTTTGTGGAATTCATTTGAAAATTTTAACTTTGATAAGTTCTTTCAGAGGATTTTTTGTTGAAGAAAAAACAAATTTTATTGCTTTCTCTATACCAACAATACCAACCCTTTTCGGAATTATTAGACATAAAGCGTCTGTAGACATTAGTATTCTTTTAAATAATAACTTTTTTTAATTTTTCAATAATTAATAATAAAATTATCAACTACCAATTAATCTAATGGGATGAAGTAATAAATTATTTAAGCATAGTTCAAGGTTTGAATCCTATCATTGTGAACAAAGAAAATTGGATTAAGAGGGTCGTGCCGTTATGAAGCTGTGTAGAATCCGAAACTGAATTAATCCACTATGCTGGGGTTCAAAGAGAAATTAATAATAAAATTAATAACCGCACAATGTGATGTATATGACTAGTTCATATTTAATTATTTATACAGTTTTAGCTGTCACACACAGGTTTTTGGATTTGACTTTAGTTGGTCTAGCCGACTGGTTTGACCACTGGGTCCGTTACTTGAACCAGCATATGTCATGATAAGGTCACTTTATCCGTATTGGTCTCAGTGGACCGTCCAATCATTTCAGCCACTTTGCTAACACTCCTACGCTAACATAACATCATGCAGTTTGATTTTTTTTTTTTTTTAATAACTTTGTGCCAAAAGATCTCAAATTAATTATTATAAGCAATATTAATACATAACTAGTAAATGTCAAAAAAAAAAAAAAAAGTAATACATAACTAGTAATGCACTCTCAAAAAAAAAAAAAAAAAAAAAAAAAAAAAAAAAAAAAGAAAGAAAGATACATACCTAGAAATGTTCTCAAGTTCAGTATTTTTCAATATTATAAAATAAATTCTCATGACTCATGATCTAAAATCCTAAAAGCTCTATTTTTTTTTCTTTCATGACTATTATTGGTGAGGACGGCCACTAGAAAGTTCTCATCGGTGGTCACTATTTTTTCTTTTTTTAATTATTTTTTATAAATAATCTTCATATTTGAGTTATGTTGCCCAATTATTGAGATTTATTATTGTTCATATATTATGATTTTATTCTCAGATCTAATTCTGGTTATTATTATAACAATTATAGTGATTTTGTGCAGTGTCTATTGTTATTTGGTTACTTATGCAAAAAGAAGCGCAGATCTCTACAAAAAAAAAAAAAAAATTAACGGAAAATTTGAAGGTAATCATACTCGAACTGTGTGGAAAGCCATTGGAGTCGATATACCCAGTGGCATATGAATAAGTCCATCAAGTGGAGCAAGCGATTACGAATAGGACAAATATTATGCTCTGTCAACTCAATCAGATACTTCAAATCATAGATTGTATATTTTTTCAATTATACTCTCAAGTGTGAATATTCATACGCTGCAATTGATATAATATAAGATAAAATATTCGATTTCTAGACCTCGTATCATAGAAATGCTAAATGAACACATATTAAGTCTCATGTATTCCTACTCTCTATGTAAGAGACTTCAGCACTGCGTATAGCTCTTATCATTACATTCGAAATATACTTACTTGGAGGTCTGTAAAATTCTCCATATAACTTAGAGAAGCCTTAAAATAAAGAATAAGTATAAGCTACAAGGTACTTTCTCTTGAATACCATTATGCATAGTGCTATCAACATATATAGTGAATGCTAATGCACATACTATATTACATACTCTTTCCATTCTATGCTTAGTTCTGTGCTCAAGGTTCCCCAATATAGTAATTTATATAGGGAGTCTCTTTATCATGTTCTCTTCAATACGTGCCTTATATAGAATTCTAGATCTTTGTTTTCTCCACATATATTGTATATTTCTCCATCAATTTTGATTTCATATTAAAAGCTATCGCTTATAGATCATTCATCATAAATACTCAGCTATATTTTTAAATAATAGTATACATTATGGTACATATGTGTAGGGTTTATAGAGCAAAATTGAAACCGTGAAGCATGAAAATTAACCAGGCGCTCGAACAAGCATGTCCTCATGTCCATTAGGACAAGCTACCATCATGAGCCCGGCGTGCTCCATTAAATTTTCAGCTGCCTCAAGCCTGCAATTAGACCGGAATCACTACGAAAATGTCGATCACATTGAGAATCAAGCTTTTTCTAAAGATACTCCTCAATAGCAGTTACAACTACTGAGGCTCTGACTCTGTCTTTCAGCTCGCTGAGATTCCAGTCCCGCATCATGTCTCATGGATGTAACCTCTGGCTTAATATGACCCATTGTAGCGTTCATCGCTCGTGCGCTGTTCCGCACGTCGATTTATTCTCGCGCAAATGACTCCGTGCTACTCACCCGCACAATTATAGAGTCTAGTTCTCTATGTTAACGTCACAATATTGCATAGCCAGATGTTACGCCCAACTCGATTTCACTCGAGAGCTCATCCATGTATACATTTTACTTTTATATGTCGGCAGACCATTCAAGTATACTAATGCTAAATAGTTGCGTATCAGTGGAGGCTAATAAAGATAAGTTATGAGATATGATGTGAAAATTGAAGAATGTGGCATTTAAGGCCCTTAATACGAATAGCTAGTTACTTTCTTTAATAATATACCGTTCCAAATAGTTTAAAACTCAGTGAGATTATCTGTTCACTCCTAAATTCATACATGTGCGATTTATTACCTTAGTCAGCATAAACAATGATTAGAAGTTCTCATCCTCATCACAACTGAGGAGCGCGCATCATGCCCATATAGTAAGAGAATAGAGGATACGGTAACTTATGTCTGCAATATAGTCAAAAAGCAATGCTAGTCCATGAGTCATCCCGTTGCTCACTTTCCACATATATCTTCACTATACCCATTACTATCTACATTATATCTTCTCATTTTGCTGTTAGTTCTGCGTACATTAGCTATTTATTTCGTGTCAAGGATTTCAAGGCGATTCAAGACGCTAATGTTCGCCAAAGCACTTGCTGAAGGAAAGCCTCAATGCCGGAGCTCAGATTGCTTCTAGAGTGGTTTGTGATATTCGCTGATAAAGCGACTCCTTAATGCCTACAGGTGTTAGTATGCTCACTCAAATATAAAATATGAAACGAATATTGATTTATGAAATTATTTCACTACAATCTAGTATTATTGAGTATTTTATATTATTAGTAATTACTCGGCTATGATACATAAACTCTTAGACATACTAGGAATTTAGATGTTAGCTTAATTTCTTGTCCATTTTAATAATATTAGATATTAGGGAAAATGCATATTTCATATTAGTGGTAAAGAGAATATCAACCACTATTATATCATTTAAACAATTATCATTGCAAGGACTAGCAACTCAGTTTCTCTACTCCTGTTGATTGTGTTGGTGATGTTACGATTTATGATTCACTATGAGTCGAATCAGAGAAGGGTATGATATTGATTATTAGAAAGAGGATAGATAAAATTAGCAATATGCAAGACATACTATATAACATGGTGAAGCGAGATTTTGCTATAGTGGCGGTATTTGAACTCGTGCTGCGCGGATTATATAATATCAATAAAGCTTAGATAGTACTCTCACATAGGTGTTTGAATGGATGCTCTAGATGGAGAGAGTTAAACAAACCATAATTTAATGAATTAATTCCATGGATGGCTGGATTGCAACTCGTGACAGCAGACATCGCGTGGGGTTTTAGAGTGTTGACATTCATATTTCATGACTTTCGGTGTGTTTTTTTTAATTAGGCTATTACTAATGTATACAATTACAGAGTGGAGACTTCTGTAGACTGATCTTTATTATTGTAATAGATATATCACACTATCTAGGTGACTGTGTTCAGATTAAAAAGATATAGAATAATAAAATGAAAGGCTAGCGTCAACTTTACCTGAGCATATTGCGTGTTAAAATTAGTGATAGCTCTCTCTACCCATAGAATTAGCTGTGTTCAAATCCTTGATTTCCTCTCTCATGAATGGACAATCGCGCTGTGTTGCTTGTCTGATCTCTACTTATGCTCTGTTTATTTCGCTTTAGAGAGAGTTTAGCTCTTAGAGTTTAAAGTATGTATTTGTTCTTTGGTCCTCTACTTTGTCGTTTCAATTTTTTAATTTTATTCATATTCATGCGTCGCAACTTATTTCAATGGAATATTGAGTCTATATATTAGAAATCTGACTTATTCATTAAGTTATTCTGATTATATTGTCCTCTGAATTTACTATATTAATATAATTATAGTATATATGAGATATTTGGTAATCCATTTACATACTTTATATATATAGATAGTAATATAGTATAAGATAAATAACTATAACATATTTCAAATATTGACCAGGTCTCACAGAAAGGAGATGCCCTATTGGTGTGTCCTTTCTGTCTTTTTATTTGTATATTTAGTACCTCAACGCATAGTAAGGTTGTGTAATTGTCGTTTCTACTTAGAGTATTTGGTCATGCTATGCTTTACGTCTTAATGAGGTTTAGGACTCGATATCTTACTGTATAAGTGCTCTAGGACAAGATTGCATACTATTTATTCTCGAACACAACAATATAGGAAAAGACTCTAATGTGACAATCAGAGAACTAATAGTTAGGAAGTGCACACAAGTGAATTTTAGTGTAGTATCGTTACTTAACTTATTCTCCCATATTATATATTAGTTATATTTGTATACGGTTATTGCTTCTTTCATTGAGTTCATCAATGATTTAGGGACATGAACTGGTGACAATCAATCACCTTTTACAGAAGATACTCAATCATATATAAGATTAATGTAGAGCTCTGCCAATACTAGATTTAGTCTAGTCTACACTATACCATGAAAATGAATGTAAGATCTAGATTCATCTCTTCTTCTTGATCTTATATTTAATCCTTTACATAATTACTATATACTATCTGTGTATGTACACTAGGTACTCATAGACGTAGCTCCTCTAGTGATAAATCATACAGAGTGACCCAAACCAATTTTGATGGTCATGTCTGTACCTGATGCTTTTTTGTGTCAACTATCATAAGCAATGATATCATCTGTATTTCTAGATTGTACTTGATGATTATATGAATACGAAAAGTCTATACATTCATATAGCCTATTTTTCTTTCTTTTGGTGCATCTTAGAATCGGAACATTATTAAATAATTTCGTGCTTCAATGACAGAACATATGTTAAATGCAGTACTCTTAGAACATATTTATAACAAGAGTGTCATGAACTTTAGCGCATACTTTGTTCTAACAACTTCACACATGTAGAGCTACACAACTTACGTTTACTGCTCATTCCCTCGCTACATGGATATACGTGTCTTGCTCCTCTTGTAACCTCCTCGACTGTTAGCCATAGATATCTCACCTAGGAATTTTATTCTTGTCTATCCTATACTATTGTGATGGCTCCAAGAGATCTAGGCCATATTCTAGATTCTCCACACACTTTAATCAAAATTTATTTAACCTTGGCATTCTTAGAACAAATTAAAATTCTCTTCAAGACAAAAATTTTAAATGCTTACATTTATAAAGAGATGATTTAGGCATTCTTTGTTAAAACTTCACAATTAGCCTAGAGCACCTAAATTAAAGTATGTCCCTTGTAACCAATTTGAAGCCTATATCAAAAATTTATTGTTCACCCATATTTAAACCTAGCCATTAAACGAAATTAATTTTCTACCCTAAGTGCAATAATGTGTAATTGAAGGTTTGATTTTTATTAAAACATAGCAACAAAGGGAGAAAATTTCATTAATACTGGCAAATGAGAAAAGTAAAAACAAAATAATAAATAAATAAAAATTAAAAAAAATAAAAAAATAAAAAGAAAACACCCGATAAAAGAAGCAATTAATCAAGAATTCAAGTTTGGGAAACTTTAGCAAGGAAGAAATTATCAAAAGTGCTATGAAGAGACCTTGTCAAAAATACCTCTAATTTCGAGCTAGTAAGGGACTTCAATTTAATCTCTCTTTACAAATAAAAATTGTTTTTAATATAAATGAAAATCCTGATATTAACCATTCCTTGTACTTTTTGTCTACCGTGTTATTCCTTTTTTTTTTTTTTGTCTAGCTAAAATTATATCCCTAAAACCCCATTACAATCTAAATAAAGACCTTTTGATCTTTTAAAATTGTATGCATTTCAATTGTAGAGAAGGGACGACTAAAATTGGCTATGGAAATGTTGAACTTATATTTAAACCTCTTATTTAAAGGTTAAATGATTTTTGTGAAAATTCATACTCTATCTGTCATAAGTTGAATAATTGTTGGTGTTACTGTCATAAGTTGAATAATTGTTGGTGTTAAAAATATTGTTAACTTATGTTTAAATTAAGGAATGTGTTTTATTGAAAATTAATTTTTTTTTGCTAGAATATAATTAGCATAAAAAACACATGATTTATTCTCATGTTAATGACTTTTGATATTTATTGAAATTGTGAATAATTATTTCCTACTATATTAAGCTAGCTTTGTTAGTTTTTAATTTTGTTGCTTGAGGACAAGCAATGGTTTAAGTTTGAGGAGAATTTTGATAGTATTATTTATTTTATAGTATTTCATATATAGTTTTATTGGGAGTTTTTAGTATTTTTAATTACTTTAATTTAGTTTTATATCTACATTTTATTTTATGTTTTCATATAAAGCTTCCTTAGTAATCATAATGCCATTCTCTTATATGTTTTCATATAAAAGCTTCCTTGAATCATAATGCACTTGATCTTAAGGAAATTTTAGGGTTTTGGCATAGAAAAGAGCAAAATAAAGCAAAACACTTAGCCTAGCATGCCCAAGCCGTGCTCCCTAGTACGCCCGTGCCACCTAGCACGCCCGTGCCACAAGTCCTTATCCAAGCGTGCCTCTGAGCACAGTCCGTGTTGAACTCTCCATAGACTCAGAACTTGACACGCTCAGACTGTGCTTCCCAGCACGCCCGTGCTAAAGACAAAGAGCTGATTTGAGTCAAAATTGCCAACCAATTCCCAACATTTTCATGAGCTCACCTTGGATACTTTCTTCACATGCAAATCAAGTTCTAACCTATGCACATGGGAAAGTCATGATTGAGAGAAATTTAAGGCCACCTTGGATACTTTCTTCACATGCAAATCAAGTTCTAACCTATGCACATGGGAAAGTCATGATTGAGAGAAATTTAAGGCTGAGAGAAATTTAAAGGCCTAATGAGAACTTTATTCCTCTAAACATAGGTGGAATTTATCTCGCTAAAAACAATTGTGGATTTAACTTCACTAAAACAAATGTAGAAGTTTCCTCTCCCAAGAAGTCTATATCCACATAGCATCACCATTTCCATTCCACCATCTCAATATCCCATATCTGATATATCTCTCAATTCTCTTAGTCTTGTGTACAATAAGGTCTTTAATATTTCTTTCAAGAGTTCAAATGCATTCAAGAGATTGTGTCAAGAATCTAAGGAAAGCCATCAGCTCGTACAGAGGTCAATTGTGTATAACTAGGATAATCTTCATATTGATTTTTTTCTATAATTCTCTCTTACTTAAAAAGGCATCTGAATTTCCATTTTGTGGCATTTCCTCATTTTCTGACCTATTAAGCGCATAAATTGCATTATGGTAGGCGAGATTATATTTTTATACAATGTATTATTGAAGTTGTAGTTATTCCTATAAGTGAATAATTAAATGTTTAAATACTGAAATCTTCCTGAACTTATCATATATTCTAAGGGATTTTGATGTAGCTTTAATTTCTTTTCCAATTTATAATATTAAGATTTGGCTTTTCCTTTGTTTAAAGTAAAAAAAAAAAAAAAAAAAACGAAGAGGAAGAAACATAACTAGAAATGTTCTAAATGTCAAAAAAACAAAAGAAATGTTCTCAAGTACAGTGTTTTTCAATATTATAAAATAAATTCTCATCGGATTCATGATCTAAAATCTAAAAGCTCTATTTTTTTTCTTTCACTGCGATCATTGGTGAGGACGGCCACTAAAATAATCTTAATATCTGAGTTATTGTTGCCTAATTATTGAGATTTATTATTGTTCATATTATTATAACATTTATAGTGATTTTGTGCGGTGTCTCTTGTTATTTAGTTACTTATGCAAAAAGAAGAGCAAATCTCTAAAAAAAAAATTGAAGGTAATCATATCGAACTTGTGAAAAGACCATGAGTCGAAAAGTGGCTATAAATAGCCACCAAGTAGAGCAAGCGATTACCGATAGGACAAATATCATCTCTGTTAACTCACTCAGATACTTCAAATCAAGATTGTATTTTTTTATTATTTGTATAAGTGATTTATTATTAGACTTCTTATACAAAAATATAAAACATATTAATCTGTATCCTATGTATACAGTTATCTCTTAACGAAATTTCGGTTTAATTTCTTCTCAAGTTAAAAAGGAAAAGAAAAGCAAATTTATTCTCTCAATTATGCAGGCTCAATTATGTGTAAGTTATTCACTATAAATTAGAATTATTTTCACAATTGAAGTTATTTTAAAATTATTTTATTTATTATTTATTATAATAATTTTATTTTCTAGATTACTTATTTTCTAGATTACTAATTTTCTTAGAAATAATTACATTCAATTTGTTTAGAAATACCAAATGCTTATTTACTATAAATTAGAATTATATTATTTTCACAAATTGAAGTTGTTTAAAATTATCTTATTTATTATTTATTATAATAATTTTATTTTCAATATTATTAATTTTCTTATAAATAACTACATCAATTTGTTTAAAAAATATAATTGCTTATTGAATAAATTAAAAAGATTCACTAAAATCGTAAAAATAAGTAAATAAAACTAAAATGATATTCCATCAGTCCTAAAATATAAATTTTTTAAGATTTTTACACGGAATTAAATAATCATTTAATTCCACAAAATTATAACAAAATTAGTTGTTGATGCGCTTACGCGGTTACTTATATTATCTAAATGATAAGTATAAAATTTTAAATATAAATGAGCGGATATTTAACTTTTTTTTAGTTTATGTTGTATTTATTTTTTATACTTTATTAGATTTTACTTATTAATATTTTGTAATATTTTAAATATATTTTGTAAAAGTCATTTTTTTTTAAATTGCTGAATTACAAAACAATAAATCTAAATTTCAATATTTTATAAGAATTTCTAATATAAGAATTTCGTAATAATTTTATAAAAGTTTTTTTTTTTCCCTTTTTCTTTTCTCTTTTCTTCCTTCTTCTTCTTTTTTTTTTTTTTTTTTTTTTTTTTTTTTTTTTTTTTTTTTTTTTTTTTTTTTTTTTTTTTTTTAACTCAAAAGGAGAAAGCAAAGAAATTTTCCTTAAATTTCCTTGAAGGCAAGCAAGCAAGGACCTTGGTCTTTTAGTCAAAACTGTTACTCTCTCTGGTACAGTGTAACAGATAAGATGATCAAAGGCAATGGATGGATGATATTTCTCTCCCTTGTGGTATTAGCTAATCGAAGCAAAAAATTGTTGCTCGTGGAAGTGAAACTCTGTATTTATTTCCAATGTAAGTCAAAAATCTATTCCTTGTGGTATTCGTTTCAACTTGCTTTCTGTCTTTCTGATGAATATGTAAGTTAGGTTCCTTTCTCTCTGATTGCTTATATTTATCGAGTCCTCTTCCAACCTAAGTTGAGTCTGATAATCAATCCTGTTTGAGCTTCGTTCTCCTTTCTGGTGATATAAGAAATATAAGCTTTATAAGCTTGTTTGTTTTTTTTTTTTAAATAGTTTAATATGCGCTTAAAGGATTTTAGTAAAAAAGGCATGGATAATTGTTACAGTATTTCTTCTATTTATTTATTTTTTTGTGATCCCATTAGAAGATTTTTAAAGTTTTTAATGTTCGATGGTCTTGAAGTTGTAGAGTCCTTTTATTGGATTCGATAATTATTTCTGTGGCACAACACTTGTCAGTAATGGTTATTTCTCGATTTTCATTTTCCAGGAAAACAGTGTCGCATAAGATATTTTAACTATCCATTATGGCATCTTCTTCCACTGGTCGTAAACGGAAGTATGATGTGTTTCTTAGCTTCAGAGGTGAGGATACTCGTGATAATTTTACTAGTCATCTCTATGATGCTTTGTGTCGTAAAAAAGTCAAGACCTTCATAGACAAAAAGTCAAGACCTCATCAGACAGAGCTCGCTGACCTTCAAGAAGAAATAACTCCAGCCCTTTTGAGAACGATTGAAGAATCGATGATTTCTGTAATCATTTTCTCCAAAAACTATGCATCTTCTCCATGGTGCTTGGATGAAATGTCCAAAATTATTGAATGCAAGGATACTTATGGACAGATAGTTTTGCCAGTTTTCTATCATATAGATCCATCTCTTTTACAAGAACAAAGCGGGAGTTTTGCGGATGCATTTACTCATGTTGATGAGAACTTTAAGGAGAAAATGGAAAAAGTGCCAAGGTGGAGGGTCGACTTGATGAAAGCGGCTAGTATATCTGGATGGGATTCTCAGGTGATTAGGTATGTGTAAATTGATAATCTGATTAGGTATGTGTAAATTGATAATCTGCTTATATTTTCTAATCTTTGAAATATATAACAAGATGAAAACAGTATAAATCACGTACCTGAGTTGGAAGGTTGAGACAAAGAGTTGTGCTTTTTCTCCTTTGTGAATTTTCTCGTCTTGGTTGAAAATGCAATAAAAAAACTTATTTTGTAGCGCTCTCTAGTTTTTGTACAAATTCTGGATGCACATCCTCTTAGTTGATATTCAACTAAGAAGCGCACACCAATTTCACAAGTTATCTAATAACATGTTGAGATTTGTAGGTTGCAAGATGATAGCTCTACACTCTAATCCTCTCACTCCTTTGCAGGCCTTCTTTCCTCTGGTTAGCATGTCTAGTGGAAACTTTATTAGTATGTAAAAATTTTATATGCTTAGCATAAATGCTAACTATGGAAGAAAAATTAGATCATTTGTGTTAATCTAACTTCTTGTGGGCTTCCTTCCATTGTTGCAGACAGTAATCAAAAAGAAAATGATGATTTGACAAAACTCTTATCAATTCCTTTGTTTCCTTCTCACATGTCACTACTACTTGTTCTTCATATTTTGCAGACCTGAGGCCAAGCTTGTGAGACCTGAGGCCAAGCTTGTGAATGATATTATGAAACATATTTTGAGGAAGTTGAATCATGCATCCTTTAGAGATTCAAAAGGCCTGGTTGGGATAGACTCTCACATTGAACAAATTAGAAAGTTGTTGTGCTTTGGGTCACCAGATGTTCCGATTGTTGGAATTTGGGGTATGGGTGGGATAGGTAAGACGACTATTGCTGAAGCAATTTTCTATAGCGCTTCAAGTGAATATGAAGGTTGCTGCTTTCTCAAAAATATTAAGGAAGAGTCAAAAAGATGTGGGCTAGATTTTTTAAAACAAAAACTATTATTTGAAACATTAGAGGAAGAAAATCTACATACTCTAAGTCCCAACATGGGGTCCATTTCCAATGAGGACAGGCTCCAATGCACAAAGGTTTTTCTTCTTCTTGATGATGTGGATGATGTAGATCAATTAGACGCCCTAATTAGAAGATCGAATCTTGGTTTGGGAAGTAGAGTTATTGTGACATCTAGAGATAGGCAGAGTAGAGTTATTGTGACATCTAGAGATAGGCAGCTTCTTAAGAATATAGTTGATGACGTATATGAAGTTGAGGGATTAAATGATGATGAAGCTCTTCAATTGTTCAGTTTGTATGCTTTTAAGAAAAACTATCCCCCGAAAGATAGGTTAGACTTATCAAATAAGGTAGTGAATTATGCTCAGGGAAACCCATTGGCGCTTAAAGTTTTGGGTTCATTGACAAGAAGAAACGAGATTGGGAAAGTGCCTGAATAAACTGTGGTAAGAGGTCCACACGTCTCATCTGTAATGTAATTAAGAATAATCTTTTGACATGCTAGATGATTGAAGACGAGAAAGTTTATTTTCTTGATTTGCTTGCTTTTTTTAAGGGGGCAAGCAATTGATCTTTCAGTTAAAAAAATTGATTTCGTTAAGAGAATCCTTGATGGTTGTGGTTTCTCAGCTGATATTGGAATCAGTGTTCTAGTTGATAGATGCCTCATTACTGTCCTTGAAAACAAACTAGGGATACATGACTTGTTGCTTGAAATGGCTCATGAAATTGTTCGGCAGGAATCTGTTGCCAAGCTGGGCAAGCGCTGTAGACTGTGGAATCCTATTGATATCCTTCAAGTGTTGACCAAAAATCTGGTGAGAGCCATATGCATGATGTGTATATATCCTTTGGGGTGTGTACGTGTCCGTCACACACACACACACACACACACACTGGGCGCGAAACTTTATATATTCGTAACTTATGCACTTATTTATTCGTTGATGTGATATCTAGGAACTGGAAAATGTTGAAGGCAGATTTTTTGGATGCATCAACAATAGGAGAAGTGAATTATGTTCCAGGCTTTTGCGAAACTGGATTAATCTTAGGACTGCTTAAATTACAATGCTTAGAATTGGGAAATAACAAAGAAATTGCACCTTCTCATGGGCCTTTGAGGTCTTTCTGATGATGAGGTATCTCCGCACTGGGAATGGGATACCCATTAGGTCTATGCCATCTAATTTTCAAAGCAGAGCGAACTTGTTTGAACTACCTAGCATACAGCAACGTTTAAACAAAAACTCATGAACAGGAGTGCAGGTTGCATATAAGATCTATCTGCATGCTTCATTTATCTTACATTACCCCTTTTTTTTCTTTTAAAAAAGCGCTTTGCGGGTGAGGTAGTAAACATTAATTCTTGGATTCCTTTCTGCAGAATCTTGTGAGCTTGAAAGACAATCACCTTAGCTACTCCTTGAGCACTTGACTACTTTACCAGACCTGTCACAGGCCAGGAATATTTGAAAGAATTTAATTTTGTGAAAACTGTCCTCACTTGGTAGAGTTGTTCGTCATCCATTACAGTTTTTAGACAATCTTGTTGATTTGAATATAAAATGCTGCAGCAAGCCTTGTGCATCTCCCGATTGGCAACTAACATGAGATCTCTCAGGGGACTACTTCAACCTTTCTGGTTGCCTCCAACTTTAGGGAATTATGTCCAGAGTTTTGACAGAGAACATAAAAGATTAAAATTTGAATGCAGACTGCCCATAGAGAACTTCCCAAATCAATTGGGATCAGTGGGACTCATACGTTGAATCTCAAGGGAACTGTAAAACAATAGGGGAATCTCCAGAAAGTGTTTGCAAAGGTTAAAAAAATCTCTTTTGATTATTGATCTCTCTGGCTGCTCAAACATCACTAGGCTTCCAGATACTGTCAATGGGATATAAAATACTTGTCTTACCTAAGTGAAACTCGCAGATAGAAAGAACTTCCGGTTTCAATGTGCAGTACTCACCAAAACTCATTTTGTTTGGATTTAAGGAACCTGCAAAAAGTGCTTAGAGATTCCTTGTAAAATTTCTAATTTGGATCTCTTGAAAACTTATTCCCTGGATGCTCAAACATCACCCAGTTTCCAGATGTTTCAAGGACTATAAAGAAATTAATTTTTGGACAGACAACCAATTAGAAGGGAAATTCCTTTCCATCAGTTCAGGTTATAGAAGAAATTCCCTCATCAGTTCAGTATTCATGTGAACTTGAGGAATTGAGTATGCAACAGTGCACAAGTTTTCGAATTCTTCCTAGCAGTATTTGCAAGTTGAAATCTTTGCAAAAGCTTAATCTGTCAGGTTGTTCCATGTTTCAGTGTTTTCCAGAAGTTTCAGAGGTTATGAGATCATTGAGATATCTTTATATAGATGGAACGGCCATTACAAAGCTACCCTCACCTATTGAAAATCTAAAGGGCTTATCGAGCTTGGAAGTGAGAAACTGCAAAAATCTTTCCATATTGCCAGAGATGATCTCAGGTATTAAATATTCTATCAACATGCCTGACGGAGGAGTAGATATTCAATATTTACGGAAGCTATATCTAACCAGCTGCAGTTTGTTGAACGTGCCTTCTAGCATTGGTTGCTTATTCTCACTTGAAGCATTAGATCTAAGTGGAAACAATTTTAGGAAGATACCTCAAAGTATCTATAAGCTGATTGAGCTGCAATATCTTGGTTTAAGAAATTGCCAGAAGTTAGAATCATTACCAAATCTTCCACCGCAACTGACAACATTAGATGCACACAATTGCATTTCACTGATTAAAGTATCATTTGGTTCAACTGGAGTAAAAGGAAATATTTTTTGAATTCTTTTTCACTAACTGTGACATGTTGGCCTATGGTGCAAGGCACAACATAATGGAATATGCCCTCACAAAATTTATGAGCTACGCAAAAAGACTGAACAACCAGGTCTCTTTCCCCTTTCATCTTCTAATTCTTTTTAACCGATAATTCCAATGTTAATGGTCATGATTCTCATGTTGCAGATTCCTTCTATACTAGCAGGAGAATCTAGTTTTTGCATTCATGGACATACAATCCCAAGGTGGTTTGGCCATCAAAGTGAAGGATTTTCTACGACAATGCAGCTGCCTTCACAGTGGGCTAACATCAAGTTCCTGGGTTTCACTCTGTGTGTTGTTATTCAATTCAACTACTTTTTTCTGGGCAACAATGGTTTCCAGATTAGGTGTCAATATCACTTCAAAAATGAGTACAGAGAGTGCAGTGATCTCCATTCCTATTTCGGTGGTTGGTACGGTGAAAGAACTCTCTGCACTTATCATGACAAAAAGTTTGGGAGACAATATCCTATGTTCTTCGGGTATGATCCATGTGTGGACGCTACAAAAGATGATCATTTCAGTAAATATAGAGAGTTAATAGTTGAATTCTACCCTGAAGATATGGATGGCAATCCTTTACACTGTTGCAAAGTGATGAATTGTGGTGTACGTCTACTATATTCTGAAGATGTTGCAAAGTGATGAATTGTGGTGTACGTCTACTATATTCTGAAGAGGAGTTATTTTGTCGATGTCTTTCAATTGGTCTACAAAAAGAAGAAAAATTAGACAAAATTACTAGGGGTCTAAATTTTCATGCAAGATATAGACTTGGTTGTCTTCGACCCTTTCGAGTGTTTTGATGTAGGTGATGAGGAAGATATAGCCACTCTTGCCTCTGAAAAACATATAGTTTATGGCTCGCCGAGAAGGTCAACGGGAATTAGGCCCTGAAGGAGTCGAACAGATCAACATATCTAACAAAAAAGAGAGAAAAATGAAAAAGTAGACCGTGGGCGTTGTAAGTTTGTAAGGCACTAACTTATTTTTTTAACATTTATATATATATAAATGTAATTTTAAGAAAAGTTATATATATTATGCATATTGCAGTGATTAGAATAGTTTTAAGTTATATTTATTATTCCATTCAAACTAAACACCCTCACAATAATTTCAATAATATTTTTATGTTCCTAATCTTTAAAAAAAAAAAAAAATTAAGACTTTTCAGTGCTCGGTGAGATTGAAGGCAATTATTGGTAGATTCAGTACCATTTCTCTTTCTTTAGTGTGTTTTTATGTAGATTCAGTACCATTTCTCTTTCTTTAGTGTGTTTTTATTTTATTATTTATATCTCTCTTGCTGTTCAATGGTTGCTCCAGTGATTTCTTAATTTTAATATTTTAACTTTTATGCTCCTTTGACACAAATAAACTCAAAATGTAAAGCTTATTGATAGAATTCATTTATAAATGAATTTTTGAAATAAATTTAAAAATGAAAGTTCATTTGCTTTTATTTCTAAAATATTCTCAGTATAATAATTTTAGAAGACCGGGAGGATGAATTATTTTGTAATAAAACTTCAAGTTGTTTAAGTTTTTTGAATTCATTTGAAAATTCCAACTCGGATAATTTTTTTAGAGGATTTTTGTTGAAGAAAAAACAAACCTTCTTGCTTTCTCTACCAACAATACCAAGTCCTTTCGGAATGATTGGTATAAAGCGTCTAGGTAGCTTTTTTTTTTTTTAGAATTTGGTTTAATTATATTCAAATTCTTACAATTGAATTCTTTATTTTTCTTTTCGTACCAAACACAAAAATTTGAATTTGTAAATCAATTCCACAAAATTTTGTGGAATTTATTTATTTTAAACAAGGAGTTAAGCTTCCAAGAAAATGGGAGTCTCTCACATAATCCCCCTATGTCAATGGGTGTCTCAACGGAAATCGGCAACTATTGAATAGCTTAATTTATAACATTTTGCAATTTTATGTCTCTAAATGACATGGCAAATTGAAAAAAATGATTTTACATATGTGGATCCAATTTTTATTAGATGTCAGTTTACTTGGTAAGAAGGAGATGGAATATTTGTTATGTAAGCATTCATGACATGAAAATATAGGGAAATAACAAAGCATTAAATGGAGGTCATGCCACCATTATGCATTATTATTTATTTTTATTATAAAATTATGCATTGTTATTAGGCTTACATGACTACTGATTGATCATAATGTTGGAAAATGGTTGTTGATATATTGTTTTTATTAAACAGATGTGCAGTATGTTAGTGGTAGAACTGCAACTCAGACAGCTGCCATGCAGAAATTAAAAGCTTCTAGGAAGAGGAATAATACGACAACTACTCCTGAATCACAAACTCAGCAGCATACAAAAGTTACTTTAAGTCAACTCAGTTTGCCTCCTTTTGCAAGCCAAGACTAATCATCGTAGTGATTACTTTTTGAGCTAATGACACTTTCTAAAAATTTTAAGACTTTTTGTTTCAGGGTATTAATTAGGATGAATTATGGAATTTTAGATAAGAATTTTAGATAGAAATTCTAGAAAGAATTTTGGACAAACAAGTTATATTGCGGCCTATTGTTTCAGGGATACAACAATCAACCGTATAGTTGATTGTTTAGTGAAAGATAGGATAGATTATAGCTCATACCATAGCTGATATTAGAATTTTGCTCATTTGGATATACTCAGAGCATATTAAAAGGACAAAACATATTACTTTTTAATATAATATATTCAAAACTATTACCTTTAATATAAATTATATAATATATAATATTATTATTATTATATATATATATGTGTTGTGTGTGTGTGTTGTGTGTTGTGTGTGTGTGTGTGTGTGTGTATAGATACATATTATCAATATTTTAGTGTTTGAGATTTATTCTGAATACAACCTGTCAGCTTTATTAAAAAAAAAAAAATACAGAAAAAAAGCTAAATTCAAGATCGAGTACAAAGTAAAATATTTTAATGCAAAATTCAACAATAAATGTCATATCTTAATTGATTATTAAAAAAAAAAAAGGCTCATCATAAATTGAATCGGGTTTATTAATAACAGAAAAGGCCAATTCATTAATTGAAAATGATTTCCATTACAACTAGGATGATAGCTCCAACTCAAACTACAGCTATTGAACTAAATCAAGGCAAACACATAAGTTTCACAATCCTATAATTCAAACTATACATTCAAAACAGCACAAGCATCACTAAACTTACGTAGATAACAAATTTTACAATCATCAAACCTCTCTTTCTTCCTAAGTGCTTCCATACCAATTTCTTTTATTTCCATTTGCAACTCTAATTTATGCATTTTCAGCCCTCCACAAAGCAAGCAAACAATTAAGTAATTTCTGAAGCTTTAACCTCTCTAATGGTAAATGACCGTCCCTTTGAAGGTGCTTTGATATAAACTTCACCAAATAAAAAAAGCGATCAACTAAGTAAATCAACTACATAAAAAAGAACACATTATTTTTAGAACTGGGTTAACATATATGAGAAGTCTAGACATATTCTTTGCAAAATCATAATATGCATTGTATTAAGTGACAAATTCTATGCTTAAAAAATATCAGTTCAAATCTCAATAACTGATAAAGAGATATTAATTAATAGAGATAATGTTAAAAGATTATTAATAATCTACATTGTAGCAATTAATCTATTTTAATTGATAAACCACTGCTAACATCTACTGGGATTAACATTCAACATTTGGTAATTAACAGTAGAACAAACATGTTAAGAAATGAGATTAGGAATACCAGTGTTTAAAAGTACTAGAATTTTAAAAAATGGAGATGCTAAATTCACAAGATTTACTTTCTTTTTTTTCTTTTCTTTTTTAATAAACATACTCATGCTTATAAATTATCTCTAACTTCAATTCTAATCCTATAGTAAAAAAAAGTCTAGCAACGCTAAATGCTAGAAACCTCAAAATTGAAACAATCCAGCAATCAGTTGAATGCCCAAAAAATTCATCCGTAAAAAACTATTGGCTAGAAGAAATTCCTTTGCATTTCAAGCAAACGAACAGTTTTACTCTTTGATACATAACTAGTAATGTTATCAAGTACAGTATTTTTCAATATTATAAAAAATTCTCGTCAGACAGACGTTATCCCTCTAAATCTATAACCTAGAAGTTTTTTTTTTGGTTTTCTTCCACGCAGCCGTTAGTGATACGGTGAACGGCGGCCACGGTAAGCTCTCATGGTCATTTATTTTTTTATTTTTTATAAATAATCTTTATATATAAGTTATTGTCACTCAATTATTGAGATTTATTGTCGTATGTATTTTGAGATTTTATTCTCAGATCTAATTCTGAGTTATAATTGTTACTATTATGGTAATTTTGTTTAGTGTTTTTTGTTATTTGGTTACTCATAAAGAAAGATGAGCAAATCTCCAAAAAAAATTAAAGGTAATCATATCGGACTTATGAAAAGACCATGGGGTCGAACAGTGGTTATGAATAGCCATAAAGTGGAGCAAGCGATTACTGATGACACAAAAATTATGCTATGTCAACTCGATCAAACACTTTAAATTAATATTGTATTTTTTTCATTATTTATATAAGTGATTTATTATTAGGTTTTCTATAAAAAAAATAGAAATATATTGATATGTATCATATATCTGTACACAGTTTCCTCTGAAATTTAGGTTTAATTTCTTCAAAAAAAAAAAAAAAAGTTCTCAAGTTAAAAAAGAGAAGAAAATTTATTCTCCCAATTATGCAGGCTCAATTATGTGTAAATTATTTACTGTAAATTCGAATTATATTATTTTCACTATTGAAGTTATTTTAAAATTATTTTATATATTACTTATTATAATAATTTTATTTTCTAGATTATTAATTTTCTTATAAATAATTACATCAATTTATCTATATAATTTATTTCTAGGATTATTAATTTACTTTGTAAATATTAATTCATTTGTTTAGGTACAAATGCTTATGTTACTATAATTAGGAATATATATTATTTTTCACCAATTGACAGGTTGTTTTAAAATTATCTTATTTATTATTTATGTAATAATCTATTTCATAATAATTTTATTTTCAATATTAGTAATTTTCTTATAAATAACTACATAAATTTGTTTAGAAAATATAATTGCTTATTGAATAAATTAAAAAGATTCACAAAAAATCATCAAAATAAGTAAATAAAACTAAAATGATATTCCATCAGTCCTAAAATATAAATTATTTAAGGTTTTTACACGAGATTAAATAATCAATTAATTCCTCAAAATTATAACAAAACTAGTAGTTGATCTGCGCTTCTTGTGCGGTTACTTACATTATCTAAATGTAATTATCTTAAAAACATTAATAAAATAAAATAATTTAAAATTTTCAAATTCATTAATAATCTATATATCAGTTAAAAAAATAAAATTTTAAAAATATATTCAAGATCCAATCAAATTGTAAAATATAAAATAAAAATTAAAAAATTTCAAAAAAAAAAAATAGAAAGATGAAATGAGAGAACATCTAGAATTTTATTTTTGTTTATATTTTAGTTGAATGATTATTATTATTCAATATTTTATAATTAAACATATTTAAAATTTTAAAAAATACAATTGATTATTTGAAATTTTAAAAAATATACAATAAAAGAAGAATTCTTGAATTATTTTAATTTAATGTTTTTATATAAATTTTCACTATAAAAATTTATATTTTTATTTATATATTGTCTCATTATATATTGTTCTCATTATCTTTACTACTCACATGATATTTAAGATTTAATATTATTAACATAATTAATATACATAAATAAATAAAAACATCAATAAACAATTAAACGTTTAATAATATTTTTTGTTAATGTTTTAATAAAAATCCAAATTAAATTGATTTATTTCGACGATATTTCGAATTTAAATTTTATGTTTTAGGAGTATTGATTAGAATTTAATTCATAGAATATATTTGAAATACCCCGAATTTTTATTTTCAAAACTTTTAAATTTTTATTAAATCAAAAATTTCGATTTTTGACTATATGGGCTTTAAACACCAAACAATCTTTATTCAACTA